GCCCACTCGGTGCTCGCGGGTTCGATAACCCCTGCGTTCAACATCTTGTTGACCTCCTTCGCGACCATTTCGCGCATGGCCGGGCCCTTCCGATAGGGCATAGAACGACTCGGTTTCGTTCCCGGTTCAAGGGGAATGCGGTGTTCCGTGGCTTGGATCGTTCCAAGCGCACCGCTCCACAGACTCGAGTGCTTACGGAGCATCTCGAGTACGTGGCCACGGAGCTTTTCATCGTCCATGTATGACAGGTCGATCTCTTTTTCCCAATGCATCGGTGGGTTTTCGGGATCCTTTTGCTGGTGGAGTACAGTACCCCTCGCCGTCGGTTGGCATAAAGGTGACCGTTCGTCCGGGTCGACCCCCCTGCCCCCGGCGGTGGTATTATCGTCGGAGTTGGATCGGCCAACTCCTACCCCACCGACTTGATCGGTCAAGTCGGTCAGGTGTAGCGCGTGCGCGATCCCCTCAGCGACCTTACGTTCGGGAGTGAGGATCGCGAGGGGTTGCGCTTCGCGTATCCCACGACGGTGTGCTTCGGAAGCCTCCTTTCTCGTCGTGAGAAATTCGCGACGATGACGTCGAAGGTCTGATTCGGTACGACCTCCGCGACTCCAGCCGTCAGCCTCACTGCATGTCGGTGTTGGAGTGAGGGCTTGGGTTCCAGGAACACGAGGCCCCTCCCCGCGGTTGTCACACGCACGCGGGCTTGTGACATCGCGGGGATGGTAACCCAGCGGGCGAATCGGATCGCTCGCGGGGCCTCCTCGCGTACGTCTGGCCGACCTGTGTGTCGCCCGTGTCGCCTGGTAGGGGAAGTCGACTCCCCTTTCCGTCGAAGATGGCGACGGAACCGCCTTGGCGTAGCTCCATTCGTTGAGCTTCGATGTCGATACATCGCACGTGCGTATCGATGAAGGCCGTGCCGAGGAGGACCGGCACGGCGAGCTGGCCCGCGACTACGAACAGAATTCGGAACACCGTGTTCCTCAACCGCACCGCCAGGCGGACGACGGCCGAAAGCTTGACGGGGTTGCTATTCGCGCCTGCCAATCGTGGCAGAGGTGCGTCGTGCACGACGTAACCCGTCCAATCGGGGGAAGGTCGGCCTTCCTCACCAGATTATACCCCGAGCACGTATCAACGGCGATCGTGCGGGGTTTAAATGCATTTCCCTCTGTGGCTATCGAGCCGAGGACGTTGTAAATCTTCGACGTCATAAGGCAAATGACGCCGTCGACAACCTTCGGGGCGGCCTTATCGGTGAAGTCGTTCCGCCGGGGCCTTCGATTTCGGTGCTGGCCCCGCTTGCGTTTCCTTCTCCCCCGTTCTTGGGGCGTCCGCGGATTAGTGACGCCCCTCGAATTATTCGAGTCCGTACGACACAGACCCTTCTCCGGCGACCTTGGGCTCGCCGGAGTCAGGGGGTCGACCGAATCTTTTCGGTCGTCGTTGCCCCCGTCGCCTTCGTTACGCCTCACCGGGACGTCGGCTGTCCCCGTGTCTTGTGCTCCTAACGTCGGGCCTTCGGAGGCCTCGACGTGCACTCCCTCCTGTATCGGAATTACAGGAGCTCCCGTGCTCGCCTCCGGTAGCGGGGGATGTATTATCGGACAATACCCCCCGTGTCCTTGGCGAGCACGCGGGGTCGGGTCTAGTTCGTGGGGAAAAGACGGCTCACGCGACCGCGTGTACGTAACCGTCATTCCCCTTTTTTCGAACTACCCGTGCTACCGGAGCTAACCTCCTGGCTATCGACGGCCAGGTCTTCTTCGGGTAGCCGGCCGCGTGGGTCAGGACGATTCCTCCACTGCGGCTCAGCGGCCCTGGCGAAGTATTCGGGTACTTCCGGGCCTTGACCTGCGGCGTCCGGTCGTCGCAGGATATGGGGGACGAAGCGAGTCGGCTCTCCTTCCTGACCCTCCGTGGGTAGAGGGTACGGATCCTCTACCCAGTCTTGCAGGTACATCATCGCATTTTGTACCTGTTGGGGTAACCGAGAGCGGTCTCGGTCCCCTCTTTCTCCTTGTCGGGGGTACCTTTTGTCCGCCTGCCGGTAGGCGGGTCGATCCCGACGATCGACCTCGCTACGACGGTACCCGCCTCCCCGGGGGGCGAAGCGTGCGCCCCCACCCGATCGGTTCGGGAAACCTTGACGCGGGGGACGGCCCTCGCCCGCCGCTTCCCGGAGGAAATTACGCGCACCGGGGGGCGTCTCCATCTGGTAGCGGTAGTTACTGTACGCCGTGAATATTCGTTGTTCCGGCGACAGGAACGGGCACGCGTACATGGCATGCCCTTACGTACGGCATAGCCAGCACACGTACGCGCTGCCGTCCGTTGAGGCGAAGGTCGCCGCGTGCCGCGCCTCCTCATCGGTGAGGAGGGGCACGCGAGGCGCTTCGTCTCCTGCATCTCGGTTCGATATGTCGAGCTCTGCGACCCGGGGGTCCGTACCCCTTGCCACTCTTGGAGTGGCCGCGAACGCAGTCGCTTAACTCGATGGCGTTCCGGTCGACATCGGTGAGGGGGCTCGTGCCCCCACGGGCCCTGCTCCTTGCGTAATGAGGACAGGGTCGGCCTGCCACTCATCCTCCCCGATATGGAGGGTCGAGGCGGGCGAACTTGTCGCGGCGGACTTCGTAGTCCTGCCAGCCCTCCCTGCCGGTTTCGGATCTGCCAGAGGTAAACCGCGCCGAGCGCGGTACGTTGTACCTTCCGCCGTGGCGATACGGCGGATGGTCGGGAGATCGGTCTTCTGACTGCCTGGCAGCCTTTGCACAGTTTCGGATACTGCGGCACGGGTTGCCGGTGCAAGTCCCCGCACGAAGTAGTGCGCGAGGGACTGTTAGGAGAAGACTACCGTGCATCGGAACGCGGCAGTCTCGAGTCGGTCAGCAAACGTGCTTTCCGTCTCATGCGATTGCTGTCGCGCCGTAGCGACAGCGTCGTACGCTTCACCTAACACGTCGTCCGTGAGGTAGCGTTTCAAGAATTGATTCACGAGCCCCAGCCAGCTCACGTCGTCGTGGAGCTGGCCGGCGCGGAGGTCACGCATCGTATAACTCGTATACAGGCGCTCCGCGTCGCGCTCGAGGAAGTGCGCGAGGACTCGTACCGCAACACCTTCGGTCAGGTGTTGCGAGTTGAAGGTGATTCGGATATCCTTCAAGAACGGCAGCAGCTGGATCGGGTCGGTACCGTCGAAGCTGCGCATCGTGGGACGGATCCCACGACAGCGTTGGACGTACTTCGCGATCCGCTTGTGCAGGGAATGATGAAACGTGGCAGACGTCGATTCCTGGCCTGTGAAGGGTTCCTGAAACGGCGCTGAACTCTTGGATCATCGTATGTACCGGCTCGAGCCCGGGTTCAGAGGGACCCAGCGTGCCGAAGTAGGTAACCGGTAGCGTACGGACGTCTACCGGACCTGGAAGCTCGGCGTAGTTCGCCGGCGGGTAGCCGCCCCAGCGGGGATCGAGGGAGACCATCGGTTCTCCGGATCCGCGGGCTGCTCCTCCACGGTCCTGTTCGTCCGCGTACGATACGCGGTCCACTTGCCGCCTACTTCCGGCGATAGGCGGCATGGCTTGGGTCTCAGACGCGGAGTTCGCGTCTATCGGAGGACGGCTTCCTTCTGCAGTCCGACTGGTGGCGGCACCAGTCGGACGCCAACCTTCAGGGGCGGCGGCGCTCGGAGGTACGGTACCACCGGGCCCTCTCGAGGGGCACCGGGTAGCCCTTCGGCCATGGTACGTTCCATGTCACGAGCACGCCGACGAGTGGCGTTGAGCTCAGCGGAGAGGTGCGCGAACGCTCCCAATTGCTCTGCGGACGGAGAGGTTCGGTCTTCGGGTCGTCTCACCGAGGTCGGCCTCTCAGGGCGACCTTGCCCGGACGGCCCGGGCGAGGCGAAACCGGAGTCTTTGACGAGCACTATCCGCGAGTGTAACTTGTCGATCAGTGCTCGGAGATTCTCTAAGGACTGCGTCACTCTACCTCCCTTCACACAGGGAGCGGAGTTCGGCCATACATCGAGTGTGTACATGGTCCGATACATCGATCCGAAGGGAAGTACGGACTTCCTCGATGTATTCGGCTATGCGTTCGAACATCGCCGCCGCTCTTTCCTCGGAGGATCCGAGCGACGGTTCGCGGTCACGAGGACCTGCGTCGCCGTCACCCGACGGGGCAGATGGGGACTGCACAGCGGCCGGACTCAGATCCGCGGCTTCGGAGCGGATCGAGGGCTCAAACTCTTGGCTCATCTCGACACGATCCGTTCGTGGAGGGAAGTGGAAGTCTTCTCGGAGATCGGACTCCAGGGTCTTCTAGGTCGGGAGACTACTGTAGCATAAACACCCCCCTGACGTAGAGGTGTATGCTTTAGCTCGACGTAGACCCTTCGGAGGGGGAGAAAACAGGGAGAACACACAGCTAATGAGACAGGGAAGCGGGCCCTGGTAGCGTGGTAGAGCGGGACGGTCGGGGACGAGCGTACGCGCGGGCCGATCCACCCCTCGACGCCCCGGAGCAGCGCTGGGTAACGTACCAGCGCTGACGGGCGGAGGCGGATCTAGGCTCGCTCGCGTACTCGTGTGCCCCCTACCCGCTTTATCCCGTTTAACGCGCGCGAAGACCGATCGCGCGTGTTAGGTAAGCTGGAAGACGGACCCTGACGGCCGGTGGGTGGCAAGTCCGTGCTTGTCCTCCTCCACCGCCGCCGGTCCGCGCCATATTTAATGTACATAATAACCTATCATAATAGTACAGTACGGATGTACTGGAGCGACGTACTGTAGCGGTCGGTCGACACTGTAATACTGTCAGCCATCGGGGCTGACAATACACGTGTGCGTGCGCTCTTCGGTCCCGCGCGTACACATGTACACGTGCACCCCCTGTACTTGGGGGTACACGTGGTGGTACTGTAGAGCACCGAGCCCTACAGTAACCGATCCGATTCTGAGTTGATCTAATCTAAAATAAAGCCCCAGGGGGGGTTATACTACAAGCGTGCGGTTAAACCTCTCAACTTGGCCGTTGGCTTGCCGGTGGTACGTAGTCGTGAACACATTGCGTATGACGAGAATTCGGCAGACATTCTGAAAGAACCGGGACGTGAACTGTGTTCCATTGTCGGACAGCAGCTTGACCGGCGGTCCGTACACGAATACCCAATGGTGAACGAAGGCTTGTGCGATGTGCGCAGCTGATATCTTCTTCAACGGTACGGTTCGTTCCAGTTTGGAGTATCGATCGCTGATCACGAGAATATACCGATTTCCTCGTTTAGTTGTAATTAGCTCGCCGAGGATGTCGATGGCGACAAACTCCAGCGGAGCTTTGGGCGTGAACAGCTTCATTTCCTTCGTCTTTCTTCTTAACTTCACCCTTTCCCGCGCACATGCGGCGCAAATCTTCGCGACTGCGTAGCAGTCTAGGGCCATCGTAGGCCAGTAAAAATATCTTCTCAATGTCTTGTACAGTTTCCTGTCTCCAGGATGTCCTGCCAATTTTGCGTAATGGCTTAACCCAAGGACGCCGTCCCTTAATATTGTGGTAGTACCACTTGTACGAACTCTGCCGCGGTACGGCATAGAGTTCCTTCGAGTTCCTCGGTCTCCGTTGTGAACGTGCGCGTTTTTCCCGCGTACATTTCCTCTTTGATTCGGCTGCAGTCGACGGCTTGCTTGCGAATGAGCTCCTCCGGAGTGACAGCTTGGAAGTGATCGAGGCAATCAGAGGTGGCCCCCTCCTCAAGAGCGAGGATGTCGTCGAGCCGTTCAAAATCTTCTTCGTCGTCTTCTGTAGCGTCGTCCGGTTCGGCCATAAAGCATGGGATTTCGTTGTCGATTTCATCGACAGTTTCTCCTGCTGTCCGTAATTTCGACAGGGCATCAGCTTGGCTGTTAGCTTTGCCCTTCTTGTACTTGATTTCGAAATCAAATTCCGAGAGGCGGAGCCTCCATCGAATTAATCTCCCGCTGGGGTCGGTTACGTTCATCAACCACCTCAATGAGGTATGGTCGGTATGCACAATGAAGTGCTCGCCATATAGATATGGTCTTAAAGTCTGTACGGCCCAAATTACCGCTGGACATTCTTTTTCTGATGCAGAATAGTTTCTCTCGGCTGCGGCTAACGTTCTGGAAAAGAACCCGATAGGTTTACGTTGTTCATCCGGGTGCGTTTGAAATAATGCAGCGCCGATTTGATAGTCGCTTGCATCGGTGTCTACCGAGTATGGTAGGTCTTTCTTCGGCAGTGCCAACACCGGTGGCGCCAAGATAGCGTCTTTGAGCTTATGAAAAGCTTTTTCGCATGGTTCGTGGAATCCTTCCAACTGGACCTGTTGTCCTTTCTTCAGTAGTTGGTTTAGAGGATGCGCAATTTTCGCATAATGCGGAACGAACCTGCGGTAGACATTGCAAAGTACCAGGAAGCTTCTGAGCTGGGTCTGCGTTTGAGGGTACCTCACTTGTTCCAATGCGGCGGTTCGCGCGGCGTCAACTTCGAGCGTATCTGGCCGAACGACGTGGCCCAGGTACTTGATCTTTTCGACGAAAAATTCGCACTTGCGGAGCTTGAGCTTCACACCTGCCTTCTCCAATACAGACAGTTCTTCATCAACATGAACAATGTGTTCTTCCCAAGACTTGCTGAAGATGATGATATCATCAAGATACACGAAGCACGATTTTCATCGGAACGGAGAGAGCGGGATATCCATGGCTCTCTGAAACGTTGCCGGTGCGTTGGTAAGCCCGAAGGGCATTCTTGAGAATCGGTACAAACCTGAGTGACACGAAAATGCGGTTTTGTCGCGGTTGCATTTGGGAATTGGCATCTGCTAGTACCCGGAGATGCGTCTAACGCGGAGAAAACCTTGATGTCACCAAGGGAGTCTAGACACTCATCCATGCGCGGCAGCGGGTACGTGTCCATCACCTTCACTGCATTCAATCTTCTATAATCGACGCAGAAGCGCATTGAACCGTCCGGTTTTGGCACCAGCAACACGGGCGACGCCCATTCTGACTGTGCCGGCTCAATTACTCCTGCCTCTAACATCTTTTGTACTTCTGCGTCTTCTTTCTCGCGGGCCTTAGGACCGGCCTGATACGGGGCTTGCGCAATTGGTCTTGTGTCCGGGACCAATTCGAATCGGTGGACCGTGGTGTTAATTTCACCAAGGGTCCCATCCCACATGCGGGAATATTTCTTGAGCATCCCACGGAATCGCTCGCGAAGCCGGTCCGGGACGTGGCTCAGGTCGAGTTCATCCACGTCCGGCGGTGGAGGCTCGATCCGTCGTTCCGGCTTCGCAGTTGCCGACGCGGAGAGCCCATCCAACCGTTCTTCTCGCGGCTCTTTCGGGTCTTGCTTTGATGATAAAAATTTAACGTCGCCCGTGGGCGACGGAGTAGAATTAGGAACTCCTTCCTCGGTTATTTCTTGTACTCCAAGTACCTCACCAATGGTGGTTGGCTTGCAAACGCGGCTCGCGGATGCGGCAGAAGTTCCGCCACCACCTGGCCTTTTTGTAGCCTGACAGGGTACTTCCTAAAATTCGCAACGAGCAAATGGAATGGCCTGTCAGGCTCAACCTGAACGACACCATTCGTGCTCACTAAGCCGTGTTTTTGATACCACGTTGAATACGGCTGGACCACGACTAAACCAGCCCTCTTCGAGGTACATTCGACGACGCGTTGCGTCGCTGGCTCAATAGTCGTGGCCCTTGCCACCTTCACTCTGGGGGAATTTCGTTCTCCTTTTTTCTCTTCCTGGTGCTCTCCTGGGACCAGAGTCTTCTTTCCCTTTCTCGGCGAGAACTTCCTTATAATCGGAACCTCCGAGAAATCTGCCAACTCCACAGTCTTCTTACGAGGATAGATTGCTTCCACGAACCGATCACAGTAGTCCGCACCTAGAATTAGGGGGACTGCGAGTTTTTCGCAAACTATGAATTCGGCTGAAGCCACGAAACGTCCAAGTCTCACAGGCATTTGGAGTGTACCTAGAGTTCGGAGTGGCCTATTATTCGCATCGCCGATGTCTTGGGTCGGTCCGAAAGACACAAGAGTTTCCATTTCTGCGGGAAGCTCGGATCTCCGGATGAGATTGGGTCCCGCGCCGGTATCCAACACGGACAATACACGGCTCATCAATCGGACTGTCGGTCCAATGTCCGCGAAGACTTTGTAGTTTTTCCTCGCGAGGACTAAAATCTTCTCGCGGCATTCCCCGCGCTTGACCCTGTACCAGGGGCGTCGGACTTGCTCCAGCGGATCGTCCTTGCCTCTTCCCATAATCTTCTTGACCCCAATGGGTCCTTTCGGTTTATCGACGATTCCAACTGTCTCCTCGTCGTTGACTGCCTCCCTCGCTAAAAGCGGGGAACGGGATTGGGTCCCGGACATGGTTCGCCGGACGCATGTCTCTCCTTTCGAATTATTTGAGATTCCCCCCCTTAGTTTTCCTGTCGCTGCGGATTTCTTCTGCAGTCCGACGACGGCCCCGCGGCCGGCCTTCCTGATGTTCCGTTCGAACCTTCGGCAGAGGCACTCCCCTAGCAGAAATTAAATACAATAAATGGTCGATTGTGGTCATCTACGGGTTCATAATTGATCAACAGTGCATTGAATTGTCCACTACGGGTCCCCTTGTATGGGCGCGATCCCTGTTTCGCCCCACCAGTTTCTGTGCATATTTGGCCAATGGTCCATCGGGAACGCCATTCCTGACCATTTATTTTGTTCATCGATTGGCACTGACCATTCTCCAATTTTTGAGAACCATTTATTTTTGGCCAGGTGCCCGGACTGACCAATGCGACGCGTAGACGACCACTTGTGTCCCTGGGCAACGTTACCAGCAATGGTTCATGAGTGGGACGGAGAACGGGTTAGGGAGTTTTAATTGCGATGAATCTAGAGGGCGATGGGCTGGGTGAGGGAGTGCAGCGTGGTCTTGGCTATGGAGTAGGCCGAGCTCTGCGTGGCCTTGATGCTCTGCTTGCCCCCCCACATGAAGCCGATGTTGACGATGCTGCCGCCCGCGCCGCGCGAGAGCATGTGCTTGGCGACGGCTTGCGTGGCGAAGTAGGTGGCGCGGTTGAGGCCGTGGTACAACTGCGCGCGAGAGAAGCGAAGCGTTGGTGGACATGACAAATTTGTGAGTACGGTGGCGTATCGTGGAAAGAGGGAGGTGAGTGCAGGAGGGTTCAGGCGGACTTACATCGTAGTTTTCTTCCGTGCAATTGACGAAAGGCTTCGGGCGAAAGATGCCGGTGGAATTGATGAGATAGATAATGCTGGCGTCGTTGGGCATGTTCTCAATGCGTGGGATGAGAGTTTTGGTGAAGTCGCCGCAGTTTGGCCAAGTCGACGAGGCAGGCGTCGACAACAACGTCCTTGGCGGCATGCTCTTGCAGAAGACGCTGAGCGTCGACGAGACGGGCCTCATTGCGGGAAGCGGGGATGAAGGAGACGCCGCGACGCACAGCGAGACGGGCACAGGTCAGGCCGATGCCGGAGCTGCCGCCGGTGGGTAGAGCGATGGGACGAGGGGTGGTGGGCTTCATTACTGGTTGTGAGGCGGGGTTGGGGTGAGTGATAGAGATGAGTGAAGTGAGAGGTGTAGATGCATCGTGACTGTGTGCGGACAAGTGAGGGGGTATTTATAGACGGAGGAAAGGGAGGAAGGGGGCGACGAGGAGAGGGGAAGGGGGGATGTGTGCATGGTGGGAGCAATGACGGGTTGAGATCGTTTCTCTCTGGGCCATGGGGAAAAGAGGGAGGAGATGCAGGGGAGTTCTTGTGAGGGTGGTCGAAAGAAGACGGAGTACGGGATGCTGTAGGCGGAGGGAAGGAAACAGGGCAGGGCAATTGATTGCGGAGTCAGGCGACTTTATTGAATGTGTGACGCGCGTGAGAGTCAAGTGGCGCTTGTCTCCTTACGCCGACGTCCGTGCCCTACGCCGCACCATCTTTCCCCTAAATTACGCACTCCATGCGTGTAAACAGATGCCTCTGCTGTTTCCGCATAAGTTGTTAAGTCCTACATGCTGCAACACATGTACATCGCACTTGCTCCACTGCCGCTGTGCATCTCTACAATGCGCTGTCTTCCTTCTTACAGAATACTTTATTTAGAGAAGTCGTGAGTCCAGAGTCTTCGACCCACACCCCCACATCGCCAATCTTCCTCAAACACTACCCCCAGAACGTATTTCTCATGTCCCCTACAGACCGACTTCCGAACCCAAGGTGTTGTGTATTACACCCGCTAAGCAGTACAGATATGGCTCTGAGCAGTTCACTCAAACCGCTCCCCAAGCCCTTCGCACGATGCCCGATGATCTCGACCTCCTCTGCTCTAGCACGCATTTATCGTTGCTGAACATGCGTCGGCCTCCTCCTGTGCGACTACACCATCTCCCCCTGTCCACCACGTTTCCCCTCTCCCTCCCATCAATATCCTCCCCCCTATCAAGCATCACAGATCCCTTCCCATCGTCCGCCCAGTCATGTCCGTCTCCAATGGCGATGCGCCTTCGCGACCCTTGTCCAAAGCTCGCGTCTTGATCACCATGGCCCAGTCCAATGCTGAGATTCACATGGAGATCCGTCTTGCGCAGGGCGACCGTCGCAATTTTTACTCACACAGGCACCCTTGTTCAAGCATAAGATGACGACTGCCGTCGGTTCGAGAAGACTCGGTTGACGCTCTTTTGCACTCCTATTTTTCGCAGACTTGTAAAATCAATCGTTGGGTCTTGAGCTGCTCCGTTCACCGCCAAGTCCGTTTTCAATATCCGTGTACTGCCCGAAGAATGCCTCAACGTTCGCCTCTTCTGAGATTTATGGGTTTCTGCGCTCTCCTCCATCTCCTCCGGAGACAGCATCTCCGCTCGCAAGCCAAGGATCCTTCGATCATCCGCGTCAACGACAGACTCCGAGGTGCTGTCACCGATAGACATGCGAAGGATGTTTCGTGATACTTGAAAGAACGAAGCAGCGGTACCACCACAGCGATAAAAAGGAAAGAGAACACAAGGACACAGGCTGTACGACGAGGAGCTGCGAGAAATGGCTCGAAGCGATCATTCTTGGGGGTACTTTGACACTTGTGTGTGCTAAGTAGCTGTGACAACGATATGGTGCCACACTCCTATCGTGCCGGATCGACGTCAGCGCACTCGTCAGGGCCTACCCATGATCGAGTGGTATGATAGCACCGCCTCTGCGCATAAGGACAGCCTGCAGAAGGTCCTTCACCGCCTCAACCGCGCAGCCCCCTTCTTGGATATCGCAAACTTCGAGAGGCAGATCGCCGATACTTTCGGTGATGGCGCCGTCCCGGGGCCGACACAGGAGGCGTTGACGTGACGCAGACGCAGATTTGTACCATGAGGATGAGGACGCTTGACCGGGAGGCCGCCCCACACATGCGCGTAGCGATCGCGAAAATGACGGTGCCCTTCTACGGTGGGGGCGGCTGAACTTGGTGGAGCGCAGTCGCAACTACATGACAAATCTACAAGTTGGAAGCTGTACCGTTGAACATACTCATGAATGGCATTCTCAGATTTGAAATTTTGAAACGGTCACTAATTAAGCCAAATGAAAAACTCAACTTCTTGAGGCACGGCATTTTTGTATATAAGCCGTATTTCTGCTCTCTGGCAAGCACAGATCCTTTCTTTCTCTTCCTTGGGGCCGTTGTGGGGCTGATCACCCTCCAGCGCAGTAGTAGCGGCTGCGGCCTCCCCTTCTCCGTCGCAGTGGCCGGTCCTGTCTCCTCTTCCGAGCGCTTTGTGCCGGCGTGT